ATTATTATTTAGTGAATTCCGATGAGAAAAAAAGAGTTTGATCACTAGTCAATTCAGGTGACTAATGATAGAAGAAGAAGAAACAAATACACCATCTAAAGGAATTCTATCCTTTACTGAGTTTATTGTACAATAGATTCTCGAATATGTGCTGTACAATATGTATATGCTGCGGAACTAATCTTTAGCAATGCTTTTACTGCGTTTTTGCTATAACAAAATTGAATTGAGTCTAGAAAGAATGTACAGTTGGGCTCAAGCCGGGCGGTCCAGGAAAGACTACTGGCCGGGCCAATCGATTAGCATTGGAGCTCTGATTGGCAGATAATTAAATCTTACATCTTTCGATTATTCAATGAGACTTTGAAACATTGGTCAATTAGCGAAGTTTAGCTTTCAAAAGTGATGAGTTATTTCTGGGCAATCTGATAAACTTCCTGAAGTTTTCAACTTTGAATTTTGTATGATTGTTTAAAAAACTGCTCTCAGTGGTGAATATTTTGGTGAATATTTTACTTTTGCACATTTGCCTCACAAATATTGAGGTGGGCATATGCGTACGATCAAAGCAATAAACTGTTCTAACAAAGTTTTATTTTTTGTCATTTTTTTGTTAGAAAAGTATATTTACTTTCTCTTCAAAAGAATATAATCGTGGTATAGGTATGAGCAAATAAGTTTGTCACACTTCTCAATACCATCTTGCAAAAATATTTCTAGAAGTGATTTTACAAGTATAAACTTAGTTGTATTGTATGACCATTTACTGAGTACAGAAGGCATACGGCATAACAGATTATGTAAATACTACTCGATTTTCTGTCGTCAGCATGATTTAGTGCACAGAATGATCAATAAGTTTTCATTTTTTCATAACGCGATAAACTTATGTCATTTTCTCACCAACATAAAATCTATGTGATGACCAGAAGAGGCAGAAAGGTAATTGAAACTATATTTTCTGTACTGCTGTGTTTATACTGAAAGATTTGGAGCATCGATATTATATTGAAATAAGTTGAGATCGTTAAGAATGCATTTAGCTCACATATGTTTACTGCTGATAAATCTGCAGAGAATATCCAGCTATAATTGTAACTTACCAACATCTGTTCCTGTAAAGTCCGTTGATTCAAGACTCAAACTACCAAATGGTTTTAAAGCCGAGATAGTTGGAAATGTTGGTGCAGCACGAGAAATAGTTGCGCTGCCAAATGGTGATCTAATCGTCGGAACAAGTAATACACAAATTTTCATTATAGCAAACGCTGACGGACTCAGTGATCCGAGAGCTCCACAGGTATTTGCAACATTGCCAGACCGTCCAGCACATGGTGTTGCTTTTGGTAGTGGCTATATTTTTGTTGCAACGCAACTGGGTGTATTTAGAATACCCTATAAAGAATGTGCATTAAATGGTACGATAGAAAAAATTGCTTCAATTCGACCAAATGGAGGAGGAGGACATACTTCAACATCACTTGAGGTCGATGGGCAAACACTTTATGTGAGTGTTGGTTCTTCATGTAATGCATGTAAAGAAACTGATCCTACTAGGGCTACTATACAAACAATGGGTTTGGATGGTAGTAATATGACAACATATGCACGTCGTTGGCGTAATGCAATTGCTATAACCAGAGATCCGTCAACAGGAATAGTTTGGGCTGGTGGCGCAGGACAGGACAACCTTCCAAGTGGACATCCGTATGAGTATTTAGATCCAGTTTCCACGAGGCCAGCTGGCTCTGACTATGGTTGGCCTGAATGTGAAGAAAATCAGATTGCTTATGTGAACGGTGCTAACTGCTCAAATATCGTAGTTCCGTTGATAGAGTTTCCAGCATATGCGACAATCATGAGTGCAGTGTCCTATCCGATGATTCAAACTGGTGAATTTCATTTCCCATTAACTTGGCATGGTGGACTTTTTGTTAGTATTCATGGTTCATGGCATTCAGGTTCAAATGGTCCGCTGATCGCCCCATATGTTGCCTTTGTTCCATTTACAAACGGAATGCCAAGAAAACCTGTTGATTGGAACGATCCTACGCAACAATGGTCATATTTCTTTACTGGATTTCAAGATGCAGCTGGTAGACGTATTGGTCGTACCACCGGCCTTACAATAGGCCCTAAAGGAAGTCTATTTGTCGCGGATGATCAAACAGGAAATATCTATCGTATTCGCCCAACCTAAGCATTTTATTTTTATGATAATTACTATAACAAAAATCAAGCATAGTACTTTATTTTGATTTTCAAATAAACGGATTTCAATAAATTAGTTAACATATATATTTTCATCGTTTCGAATTGAAGTTATAGTCTATCATTCCAAATCAAAACGTCTTTCAATTACATACGATTACAGCAATTAAATGAAAGCATGCACGGAACACTGAAACGTGAATCTTTATTTACACAACTTACTTCCGCAATAATTTAAGTGAGATTTCTACTACAATTCAGCACAGTTGAATAACCTACTGTATCAAAAGACTACGCCATGGTCGACAATTTATAGCCGTCTTAGATAGCATCAGTCTGAAAATCAAGCCAGATTTTGTTTTTGAATTATTTAGAGTTCATTGAGTTACGTACTAAAACGTCCATTTTCCTTCCTTTAATTTTATTTCTTAATTTTAAACTTATTTAAAAAACTTTTGTGAAAGAACGTTTTAAAATTACGATTGGATCGAAAAACTTTTTAATTCTCGAGAACTTATCTACGGTTACGCTTCTAAAAATGAACGGTAAATCACGTGATGCTTAAGAGATAGTCCATTTGGTCATCGAGAATAGTCATAACAATTTGGAATTTTTTTCCTCTAAAAGTGTTCTCATTCGATTTCGCATACCGAATAACGTGTAAATCCAAATTTTGAGCTTTCGATGTCTTTCGACTGAGAAATTATGACATTTTTTTCGAAGGACCCCGAACATTTTTCGAATACACCTATGTCTCTTACAACTTTTCAGTATTTTATCTATAACGCAAAAACGACATGCCTAATCTTTTTGAGCAATAATTCATTCGAAAGAGAACTAAAAACTGAACAAAATGATATATTAGAGCATATTTATCGATGCAACGTTGAAGCTATATGTCCAAGTTACTCTCAAAAGTCATTATTTAAAGAACATGACATTATCATAACGGTTTTCTTTTGCATGGGGCCAGAAAATAAGTTTTGTTCTTTTGTAGAGCTGAAAATTCCCTATAAAATGAGCATACAAAATTTGAAAAAAACATTGCAACACACATGCCTAAAAATTCAAAATACTTTATCTCACTACCCTTAAAAGCCGTCATTGAAAAAGCATGATTTTTCTATATAAAGTACTCAGAAAGATTTGCTTTAAATGGTCATACAGAATAAATTTCTCTATGTTGTAGAGCTGCAAATTCTCTATAAAATGAACATAAAATCTTTGTGAAAAACCTCTAGTATGTAGCCAAAAATGCAAAACTATTTGTCTAAATACATAAAATCCATTATGTACAGAGAAATTTAGACAAGCTCGAGGTTGACACTCCCAGGTGACTTT